TGCAACAGATTTGCCTAATGCAGTATGTCATTCAATTTCTTGACTGCTGCTTCCATGAGGGTTGATAGTTGATCCAGGAAAAATGAAGTCCTTGACAACTACAATCTTTTCTCCTTTAATAAGAATGTTGTTTACTGGTCCAGTGGTGAGGATTTTTTTTTTTTTCTTCATGATTAGATGCAATCCATACCGAAGGCTGTGCTCTTTGATCTTCACCAGTAAGTATCACTTTCAGCAAGTAAGATTGTATCATCTGCATATCATAGGTTTTTTAATAAGTCTTCCTCCAATCCTGATGCTACGTTTTTCTTCATAGAACCTAGCTTCTCGGATTATTTGCTGAGCATACAGGTTGAATAAGTATGTGAAAGAATACAACCCTGTCACACACCCTTCTTAATTTTAAACCCTAGTGTTCCCATGTTCTGTTCGAACAACTGCCTCTTGGTCTATGTACAGGTTCCTCATGAGCACAATTAGGTGTTCAGGAATACCCATACTTCACAATGTTGTCCATAGTTTGTCATGATTCACAGAATTGAAAGCCTTTGCGTAGTCAATAAAGCACAGGTAAACATCTTTCTGGTAGTCTCTGCTTTCAGCCAAGCTCCACTGGACATCAGCAATGATATCCCTTGTTCCTGGAACATATCCCACCTGAGTTTAGAGATCATCTCAAGTACAGATTTAATGCATTAGACACTAATGACTGAAGACAAGGAAAGTTGTAGGAAGACATCAAGAACACCATACAGGAAGAAAGCAAAAGACCATTAAGAAGACAAGAAATAAGGAAAAGACCAAAGCGGATGTCAGAAGAGACTGAAACTTGCTCTCCAGTGTAGAGTTGTTAAAGCATTTGGAAGAAATGAGTAGGTAAAAGAACTGAACAAAAAATTTCAAAAGGCTGCCAAGAAGACAAAGTCAAGTATTATAACAAAATGTGCAAAGGCCTGGAGCTAGGAAAACTAAGGGGAATAACATGCGCAGCATTTCTCAAGCTGTGGAAACTGAAGAAAAATTCAAGTCTCGATTTGCAATACTGCAAGTTTCTATGGGGGAAATATTGAATGATGCAGAAAGCATCAAAAGAAAGTGAAGAGAATACACAGAGTCACTGTACAAAAAGAAATGTTTGATGTTCAACCATTTCAAAAGGTAGCATATGATCAAGAGCCAATGATATTGAAGGAAGAAGTCCAAGGTGCACTGAAGACATTGACAAAGAACAAGGCACCAGGACTTGATGGAATACGGGTTAAAATCTTTCAACAAAGTGATGAGGCACTGGAGGCACTCACTCATTTATGCCAAGAAATTTGGAAGACAGCTACCCGACTAACTGATTAGAAGAGATATTTGTGCCCATTTCAAAGACTGTTGACCCAGTGGAATGTGGAAATCATCAGGCAATATCATTAATACCGTATGCAAGTAAAATTTAGCTAAAGATAATCCAAAAATGGTTGCAAACATACATTGACAGAGAATTGCCAGAGGTTCAAGCCAGATTCAGAATAGAGCATGGAATGAGGTATATCATTGCTGACATCAGATGGATCTTGGCTGAAAGCAGAGAATACCAGAAAGATGTTTACCTGTACTTTACTGACTACATAAAAGCTTTTGATTGTGTGGGTCATGGCAAGCTATAGACAACTTTGCAGAGAATGAGTATTCTGGAACACTTAATTGTGTTCATTAGGAGCCTGTACTTAGACCAAGAAGCAGTTGTTGGAACAAAACAATGGGTCACTGAATGGCTTAAGGTTAGGAGAGGTGTGAGCCAGAGTTGCATTCTTTCACCATGTTCATTCAGTCTGTTTGCTGAACAAATAATCTGAGAAATTGGATTCTATGAAGACTATTACGGCCTCTGGACAGGGAGAAGACTCATTAACAACTTGTGATATGCAGTTGATATAACTTTGTGTGTTGAAAGCAAAGAGGACCTAAAATACTTACTGATGAAGATTAAAGCTCATAGCCTTCAGTATGGATTGCACTTCAATGCAAAGAAAGCATAAATCCTCACCACTGGACCAATAAATAACATCAAGGTAAGTGGAGAAAAGATTGACGTTGTCAAAGACTTCATTTTGCTTGGATTTATCATGAACACTCATGGAAGCAGCAGTCAAGAAATCAAATGAGTTGTTGCATTGGGCATATCTGCTGCACAAGATCTTTTTAAAGTGTTGAAGAGCAAAGATGTCAGTTTAAGGACTAAGGTGCACCTGACCCAAGCCATGATATTTTCAATAACCTCATATGCATGCAAAAGTTGGACATTGAATAAGGAAGACCATATAAGAATTGATGCTTTTGAGTTATGGTGTTGGAGGAGAATATTGAAAATGCCATGGGCTGCCAAAAGAACCCACAGATCTGTGTTGGAAGAAGTTCAGCCAGAGTGCTCCTTAGAGGCCAGGATGCCAAACTTCATTTCTCATACTTCGGACATATTACCAGGATAGACCAGTCACTGGAGAAGGATGTCATGTTCGGTAAAGTGGATGGTTGGAGAAGAAGAGTAAGACCCCCAATGAGAAAGATTGGCACAGTGGCAGCATCAATGGGCTCAAACGTAGCAATGATTGTGAAGTTGGTCCAGGACCAACCGGGCAGTGTTGCGTTCTGCTATGCATAGGGTTGCTATGAATTGGTTCCAACTCAATGGCACCTAACAACTAACAACAATTTTATTAAAGTCTTATGAAAGGTACTTTGCCTTTTGAAAATTACCTGGAACTTCTAACAAATTATGCTCAAGCCACCAATTGCAAAGGAATTTTCAAATTGGGTTTCCAATTCCAAGTTGTTATTAGCTGCCAATGAGCTGATCCCAACTTATGGTGATCCTTTGGGTTCCAGAGTAGTTCTGTGTTCCATAGGGTTTTCTTGGATTCAATCGTAACAGAAGCAGGTCTTCCTTCTGTGGTTCTGCTGGATGGGTTTGAACTGCCAACCTTTAGGTTAACAGTCAAGCAAAAACCACTGCAAAAACCCTACACAGCATCTTCATGAGTGTGAAAGGCACTTACCAAGGAACCTTCCAATTCCAAGTAGAAAATATGCACATTATAAAACAAATACATAACAAATCACCTCACAGATACTTAGATTTTGTGAATGACTATGACACCCTTAGGGAGCTCTGGTAACGTAGTGGTTATGAATCGGGCTACGAACCTTAAGGTCAGCAGTTCAAAACTACCAACTCTTCCAAGGGAGAAAGATGAGGCTTTCTGCTCCCGTAAAGATTTACAGCCTCAGAAACCCTGTACAGGGTCGCTATGAGTTGGAACCGACTCCAAGGCACATAACCACCACCATAATACCCTTGCTACTGTTCTAGGGAAAACTTGCCCCAAATTCAAATGTATTTTATAGTTTTTGTTGTAGTTAGCTGTTGTCAGATTGACTCCAATTCATAACAATCCTATGCACAACAAAACAAAGCACTGCTCAGTCCTGCACCATCCTCACAACTTCTGTTACACTTGAACCCATTGCTGCTGCCACTGTGCTAACCCATCACCTTTTATTAAGTCTTAAAATGGACAAAGACAAGACAAAGACAAATCATCCCAATGAGGGAGACCCTCAGTATTAGGTCATAATGGTGTACAAAGGATTCATGGCCCCATTGCTAATTACAGAACCCAGAAAAGGAAAGAAATTCGTCATAAAATCACGACTGGTGTCAGATCAATTTACCATTGTCACAGGTGAGACTAAGGACGATGGGAACCACACCGTGACTGGGAAAAGTATAGTATTACAGATTAGAGAAGCTTACGGGATTGATTCTGGGGTTCTCCAACCAGCTTGGTCAGAATAAGACTCATGACTGTGCGTCCTTGTACCCCAGTTTCCATTGAGGGTGTACCCAGCTAAGTCCCTGAAAATGAGACTGCTCCTCCTTGAGTTGGCCAGGGGATAAGCACTGGACTGCTAACTGAAAGGTCAGTGGTTCAAACCCACCAGCCAATTCCCAGAAACCCTATACAGCACCTTCATGAGTGTGAAAGGCACTTAACAACATTTCAAACACACTCTGCCTGAGGTCAAGCTGGTTAATTGTCAGAATGTAATCAATGTAGAGGCTGAATGGAGTTGGTGCTCCCACTGTAAACTGAAGCCCTCTGAAAACCAAATGCTTAGAATTTAAGCTCTAATACAATATGCGGTAGACAGTGATAGAGTTGGCACATAAATGAGTTAAGTCCAAAGTGAATCAAAATCTTGACATCTTCTCTGCTAAGAGAAAGTTGTACTTCTTCTAAGTCATATCCAGCTCTCCTTCTGACTGTCCACAGTCTATTCAATATTCTTCACACTGTTCCAATGAATCAAATTTCCATCTATCTTCTGCTTTCATGGTCCAGCTTTCATGTACATATGAGATGATTGGAAAACCTTGGGTTGGGTTCAATACATCTTAATCACCACAGTGACATCTTTGCCTTTTATTTTAGAGGATAAACGAAGAAATGAAGTCTTGTTGTGTCTCCTGGAAAGAGACAGGCTGGTCGAATGAAGACTGCAAAGCCGTCTTTTCAAATGAAACGAAAACAGAATGCAGCTGCATCCAGTTCAGCCCCTATATTGTCCTTGTCTCCCCAGGGCCAATGGTATGTTCATAAGCGCATTTAACATTGAATTCACAACTCCCTGGCAGAAGAAATATATGTATTCCCAGATTATGAAATAATGCTATCTACAAGGTCTCTAGGTGGTGCAAATGGTTTGCTCTCAACTACTCACTGAAAGGTTAGTGGTTAGAATTCACCCAGAGATGTCTCAGAAGAAAGGGCTGGCAGTCTCCTTCTGAAAAACCAATGATTGAAAACTCTCTGTGGCTCAGCTCTACTGTGAACGTCATGAATTGGCATGGGGACCTAATGTCAACTTGGTTCTTACTGTTATTAAGTAGAAAGTTGCTAGTCAACACAGGATTTAAAATGAAAACAAGTTGCAATTTCCTCTTTTGCTAGCCTGTAAATAAAGATCCCGTGCTGGAGGTGATCACCGACGTGGGGCTGATCCTCTCTCTGCTGTGCCTCTTCCTGGCGATCCTCACCTTCCTCCTGTGCCGGTCTGTCCAGAACACCAACACCCTCCACCTGAACCTCTCACTATGCCTCTTCCTGGCCAACCTGCTCTTCCTCGTGGGGATTGACCGAACCAAGCCCAAGGTAGGAGACTTAGTGGGAACACTTCCCTCCTTTCTGTTCCTTCCTTCCTTCTTGTATCTTCCCTCCCTCTTCCTCTTCCTCCCTCTCTCCCTTCCATACTTACTTAACTCCCACCCTGATTTCCTGTTCAGAAGCCTTATCAAGGTACAATTCTCATATCATACAATTTACCATTCGAAGTGTGTAATTCTGAATTTTTAGTAAACTTACAGAGCGGTCCATTCCATGGAATGCACCCAGTGTGAATCTAGGAAAATTGGAAGTTGTCAAAATGGAAATGGAACACATAAATGTCCTAGGCATTAGTGAACTGAAATGGACTAGTACTGGCCATTTTGAATCTGACAATCACCTGGTTTATACTATGCTGGGAATGACAAAGTGAAGAGGAATGGTGTCACATTCATCATCAGAAAGAACATATCAAGATCTATCCTGAAGTGCAATGCTGTCTGTGATAGGATAATACCCATATGCCTACAAGGAAGACTATTATTCAAATTTATGTACTAACCACTGCAACCAATGATGATGAAACTGAAGAATTCTAGCAACTTCTTCAATCTGAAATAGTCAAACATACAATCAAGATGTAATGATAATTACCGGTGATCAGAATGCAGAGCTTGGAAACAAAGAGGAAAGATCAGTAGTTGGAAAACATGGCTTTGGTGATAGAAACAATGCTGGAGATCACAAGATAGAATTTTGGAAGAACAATAACTTCTTCAATGCAAATGCTTTTTTTTAAAACAACATAAAAAAATGACTTTATGTTTGAACCTCACCAGATGGAATGCACAGAAATCAAATTGACTACATCTGTGGAAACAGATGGTGGAAACGCTCTATATCATCAGTCAAAAAATAAGGCCAAGGGCAGATTGTGGAACACACCATCAATTGCTCGTATGCAAGTTCAAGCTGAAGCTGAAGAAAATTAAAACAAGTCCAAGAAAGCTAAAATATGACCTAGAATGTATCTGCCCTGAATTTAGAGGTCATCTCAAGAACAGATTTGATGCATTAGACACTAATGATTTAAACCAGAAGAGTTGTGGGATGGCATCCAGAACATCATGCAGGAAGAAATCAAAAGGTAATTAAGAAGACAAGAGGGAAGGAAAAGACCAAAATGGATGTTAGAAGTGACCCTGAAACTTGCTGTCCAGGGTAGAGATGCTAAAGCAAATGGAAGAAATGAGGAGGGGAAAGCGAATTAGAAAATTTCAAAGGTCGGCTCAAGAAGGCAAAGTCAAATATCATAATGAAATGAGCAAAGATCTGGAGTTAGAAAACCAAAGGGGAAAAGAACAAGCTCAGCATTTCTCAAGCTAAAGAAACTGAAGAAAAGTTTCAAATCTTGATTTGAAATATTGAAGGATTCTATGGGTAAAATATTGAATGATGCAGAAAGTAAGAAAGAGGATGGAAGGAATACGCAGAGTCTCTGTGCCAAAAAGAAATGGTTGACGTTCAACCATATCAAGAGGTAGCATATAATCAAGAGCCAGTGAAACTGAAGGAAGAAGTCCAAGGTGCACTGAAGGCATTGACAAATAACAAGGCTCTGGGAACTGATGGAATAAGTACAAATTGAAAACTTTCAAGAAACTGATGCAGCACTGGAAGCACTCACTCATCTATGCCAAGAAATTTGAAACTACCTGGCCAACTGATTGGAAGAGATCCATATTTGTGCCCATTCCAAAGAAAGGTGACCCAATGTATTGTGGAAATCATCAGGCAATATCATTAATATCGCATGCAAGTAAAATTTTGCTAAAGATAATTGAAAAACAGCTGCAACAGTACATTGACAAAGAACTTTCAGAGGTTCAAGCTGGATTCAGACGAGGTAATGGAAGGAGGGATAGCATTGCTGACATCAGATGAATCTTGGCTGAAAGCAGAGAATACCAGAAAGATGTTTACCTGTGCTTTATTGACCACACAAAAGCTTTCAATGGTGTGGAACATGACAAACTATGGACAACATTGTGAAGAATGAATATTCTGGAACACTTAATTGTGCTCATGAGGAACCTATATGTAGACCAAAAGACAGCCATTCAAACAGAACTTGGGAACACCGAATGGTTAAAAGTTAGGAACGTGTGCGCCAGAGTTGTATTCTTCCAACATACTTATGCAATCTGTATGCTGAGCAAATAATTTGAAAAACTGGGTTATATGAAGAGAAACATGGAATCAGAGTTAGAGGAAGACTCATTAACAACTTGTGAAATGCAGATGATACAACCTTGCTTGCTGAAAGTGAAGAAGACTTAAAATACTTACTGATGGAGATCAAAGACGACAGCCTTCATTATGACTTGCACCTCAATGTAAAGGAAACAAAAATTTTCACCACTGGACCAATAAATAACATCAAAATACATGGAAAAAAGATTGAAGTTGTCAACTATTTCATTTTGCTCGGATCAACCGTCAACACTCAAGGAAGCAGCAGTCAAGAAGGTATGCCTGACCCAAACCATGGTATTTTCAATAACCTCATATGCATGTGAAAGTTTTACAATGAATAAAGAAGACCACAGAAGAACTGATGTATTTGCATTATGGTGTTGGAGGAGAGCATTAAAAATACCATGGACACCTAAAAGAACAACCCACTCTGTGTAGTAAGAAGTACAGCCAGAATGTTCCTTGGAAGTCAGAATGGTCAGACTTCATCTCATACTCTGGACATATTGTCAGGAGGAACCAGTCCCTAGAGAAGGACATCATGCTTGGTAACATGGAGGGACAGAGAAAAAGAAGAAGATCCCCCAGTGAGATGAATTGGCACAGTAGCAGCAACAATGGGTTCAAGCATAGCAACAATTGTGGGGTTGGCACAACACTGGGCAGTGTTTCATTCTGTTGTGCATAGGGTCGCTATGAGTCGGTACTGACTCGACGGCACCTAACAGCAACACAGAGCTCACAGTGAATTTTCATCTTCCCCCCAGAAAATCTCATCAACTGGTTAGACCTAAGTCTACCAGTTGCTGTGGAATGGTCAGGCACATGGTGACCCCAAGTGTGGAGTGTAGAACTGCTCCATGGGGTCTTCAAACCTGGGATATTTCAGAAGTTGATAACCAGGTTTTTCTTCCAACACACCTCTGAGTAGGTTTGAACTGCCAACATTTTGGTTAATAGTCCACTGTTTAACCAATTGCATGAACCAGAGATTCTTCAAACCCTAGATACCCATGAATATATTCTCTGTATGTATGGATTTGCCAGTTCTGGACATTTCATATAAATGGAATCATACAATCCGATTTCTTTCACTCAGCAAATTATTTTAAACTTCATCCACAATGCAGCATATTTTAGTACTTCATTTTTTATATTGAACAATATAAGTATGAATAATATTCCACTGTACTGATCTACCACATGTTATTGATCCAATTTTTTTAGTAATGAATGATCGGATTTTCTCCTACTTCTTGACTGTTGCAAATCGTGCTGCTGTGTATATCTATGTATAATTTTGTGTGTGGACATATGTTTTCAACGATCATGGGTGCATTCCTAATACTGGAATTGGTTGGTCACATGGTTTTTCTGGGTTTAATTATTTGAGGAAATGTCAGGCTATTTTCCAAAGCAGTTACTCACTTTTTTCTGTCCATATATCAATGTCTGAAGCTTCCAGTCTCTCCATAGTCTTGTTATCTGACTTTTTAATAACTCTTAAGTGATGGGAGGAGTCATGGCATGGCACTGTATGATAAGCACCAGACCACAAGGTTGGTTTGAAACACATGGTCAGTGGTTCAAGTCCATAAGCTGCTCCTTGGAACCCCCATACAGGGCCACTATGAGTCAGAACTGACTTAATGGCACTTAACAACAGAGTGTTGAGAGCTTTTTCTTATGCAAAAAAAGTTACTGCATGAATCATTTCTTTTGGAAGGATCAGCACAAGGCTGGTTCCTATGAGGTGGAGGTTAAAGATGTCATGAATAGTCCAGCTTTTCCAAACCTGATGAACCACTGCATCATCTCTAGCATCAACTCCTCTCTCTCCCATCTTTGAGTTCTATAATGCTCTGCAACATCTCACATAATTCATAAAATTATCAGGGTAAGGGCTTATACAGTTTGGGAGACTGGTAAGTCCCAAATCCATGGGTCAGGCATCAGGCCTCCAGCTTCTTTTGACTCTTGTGGCTATAGGGGCTCACAGACCAAATTTGACAGGTCGGATGTCAGGCTGGTGGTTCACAAGGCTGCAGAAGCTAGAAAATCAGGTCAGGCAATAGGCTGCTGGCTGAAGTTCCAAGAACTGAAGATCAGATGATGATGAACCAGGTATAAGAGATCCAAAAGAAGAGACAGCACTTTGCCAGACTATTCATATATATTGACTGCAGACCCTCAGATAAGCTCCCCTCACTTAAGCAAAGCAATACAAGGGTATGTGTTGTTGCTGTTAAGTGCCATTAAGTCAGTTTTGACTCATAGCAACCATGTATAGGGTTTCTAAGGAGCAACTGGTGGGTTTGAACTACGCACCTTGTGGTTAGCAGTCAAGTGCTTACCCTAGAGCAACACACCAGGAGCCCATACAAGGATATGGAGAGTGGCATTTGGGGTAAAAGTGTGACTTTAGTCACACCCTTTAGTAAGGGAGTGATTTAAGATATATCCCGTCCTAAACCTGGTGTGGCGCTGTGGGCTAATGCACCAGACTGCAAAGTCGTTTGAACTGGTGGTTCAAGGTCGGTGGTTCAAACTCACCAGCTGCTCCTTGGAAACCCTATACAGGGTCGCTATGGGTTGGAACTGACTCGATGGCACTTCACAACAACAACAATCCTGTTTCATTAGTATAATGGCCAACTCACTCCAAAATGGGGCTGTAACCAAAGACAGAGAGGCTAGGAGTTACAACACACCACAAGATAGAGGAATATGCCTAGGAGGTCCATTCTAAGTGATTCACTCACTGCAGTTACTATACTTACAAAGGAACCCATGCATAGAGAACAGCCAACAATTTTGTAAAAAAAAAAAAAAAAAAAAACTTCTTGTCAAGTTTTTGTCAAAGAAGTGGCTATTAGAAAGTATCTCTGGTAGCATTTGCAGGTGGCAAATAGAACTCCTGGTATGGTGCTGTGTGATAAACACTGAACCGCAAGCTTAGTTTGAACTACAAGGTCTGTGGTTCAAACTCACCAGCAGCTCCTTGGAAACCTTCCACAGGGTCGCTACGAGTTGGAACTGACTTGACGGCACTTAACAAGAACAACTTCCGGGTGCCATTGTAGAAACAACGTCCTGTCTAAAGTGGATGTCTCTATTCCTCAGTGGTTACATGGAGCTCTCCAGTGTGTAAATGATTAACATGCTTGGCTGTTAACTGAAAGGTTAAAGAGCCAAGTCCACCCAGAGCTGCCTTGGAAAAAAAAACAAAAACACAAAAACTGGCAATCTACTTCTCAAAAACCAATCATTTTTGTTAAAGATTTCTTTATGCCCACCAGACACTCAAGTACCTCTCCTCCCCTCCAGGTGCTGTGCTCCATCATCGCAGGTGCATTGCACTACCTCTACCTGGCCTCCTTCACCTGGATGTTCTTAGAAGGGCTGCACCTCTTCCTCAGCGTCAGGAATCTCAAGGTGGCCAAATACACCAGCTCAGGCAGATTCAACAAGAAGTCCATGTACCTTGTTGGCTATGGGATCTCAGCTGTCATTGTGGCTGTGTCTGCAGGACTCAATCCCAGTGGATATGGCACACCTACACAGTAAGTGTGCCAATGGGGAATGTACACACCTGTCTCCAGGTGACACCAAGAGCAGGAAGGAAAAATTAAGTTGACACTGACAAGATTGATGACAAAAATACTGACTGTATAAGTGCTTCATACACTTGTCCGTCATTTCTCTTTGTCCTCAAAATAAACCTGAGGATTCTATATATGAATCCTGGTCCAAGGTGGAAGGGAGGAATTTGGAACAGAACTCACAGAATCCAGACTTTTTGAGCCATTGTGACTGAATGACACCCTCTCCCCAAACTATTATCCTGAGGAAATTTTCAGACCATGAAAAGAAACTATCCCCTGTAGTCATCTTTGAACCAAACAATGTTGTTGTTAAATATTGTGGAGTCAATTCTGACTCATAGTAACCCTGCACAGGGTTTCCAAGGCTATAAATTTTTACAGGAGCAGAAATCCTCATCTTTCTCCAGTGATAGTTTCTGGTAGTTAGCAGCCTGATTTGTAACCTCTATGCTACCAGAGCTCCAAACCAAACAATTGTTGTTGTTGTTGTTATGTGCCATGGAGTTGGTTCCAACTCATAGCAACACTGCACAGGGTTTCTGAGGCTGTAAATCTTTACGGGAACAGAAAGCCTCATCCTTCTCCCACAGAACAGCTGGTAGTTTCGAACTGCTGACCCTGAGGTTAGCAGCCCAATTTGTAACCACTACACTACCAGAGCTCCTTAAACCAAACAATCATTTAGCATAATTAGAAAAGAATGTCTACTTTGAGCATTGTGCTCTTTGAAGAAACTATATGGAATCAAACTAACAACAGCAACTCAAAAGGTGAGATGAGCAGCTGCGGGGATCGCTGTTTGTGTTAATGGCGGTGAAATTATTTGAAAGATGATAACTTGAAGAATGTAGTCAATGTCGCTGAATTGTATGAGGGTAAATTTAAAGCATGCTCTCATACTTGGGACGTATTATCGGGAGGGACCAGTCCCTGGAGAAGGACAACATGCTTGGTAAAGTGGAGGGTCAATGAAAAAGTAGAAGACCCCCAACGAGATGGATTGACACAGTGGCAGCAGCAATGGGCGTTAGCATAGCAATGATTGTGAGATTGGCGTGGGACCAGCCATTTTCGTCCTGCTGTACATAACGTTGCTTTGAGTCTGTACAGACTCCACAGCACCTAACAGCACAAGAAACCTTTATTATGCAAAAAATATCAAAATGTGGAGCTGTTATTTCTCGAAATACCTTCTGTCTAGGTTAATACACTTCTGAAGTCATGGTTTCTATCTCCATAATCTTTCCCTGAAGAATTTTATGCTCTTAAATTGATAAAAACATCAAAATGGCAGTTTGGGCATCCTTGAAAAACTCAGATCATGTTCCTTTTAAATGTTCTTTGAGTTTAGGGAACAAAAAGAAGTCTGAATGAAAAAGACCAGATCTTTAAAGTGGATAGGGTAAGGTTTTCCAACAAAGTTCTCATTGAACAGTCCTTAATACCCTCCAAGAAGGAGCAGGTGCATTGTCATGATAGAAAAAAGATTTTTTGGTGCAAGTTTCCTGGCTAGCAGTTTCCAATGTTCTTAAAACTTCTTCCTAATAAGTCCATGTGATCATCCCACATCCTTCAAAATAATCTACGAAGATAACACCTTTGGAATCCCCAAAAAACAATCGTCATAACCTTCTGAGATGACCTCTCTGCCTTGAGCTGAACTGGCCCAGCAAGGTGCCCTTTGAAGCCACTGTTCTGATTGGCCTTTTATTTTTTTAAGGCTAAGACAACTGAGAGGACTTGTCTGCAGCCATCCACTGATTGTTCAGGCATATTTAAACATTTTTCATTTGGAACAAACCTGTGTATGTATGAACTGGGATGCTAGTAGCAATATTTTTTGCCTTACGCTCGTACATGTAGAAATTTTGAATCAGTGTATATTTTGCTGTGTTTATTTTCACAAATGCACACACAAACACACATCCCCACACCAAGAGCGAAATACTCTTATTATCTCCATTCATCTGTTAAAGAAACCGATCATCAGAGAAGTGTGAGCAGTTTGTCTAAGGTTACACAAATAGTACACTTGAAAGAACATAGATTTTGGAATGAGATAGCCTGGGTTCAATTCAAGGCTTCCCTTCTAACTAGCTGGATGATCCTGAGAACACTAGTTAACATCATTCTTAATTTTTATCATGTGTAAAATGGGGGTGTTATAGATTGAATTGTGTCCCCCAAGAATATGTGTTGTACATTCTACTGAGAATACTGTCACACTTGAGAATAGGACTTTTTTGTGATGTTCATGAGGCCATATAAGTGTAGGATGTGTCTTAGACCAATCACTTTTGAGATAGAAAAAAAAAACAGGTGAGTCACAGAAGCAAGCAAATACAAATGGAGAAAGATTGCCAAAGAACCAAGGACTAAAAGCTGAGAGAGACAAAAATCTTCTCCCAGAGTCTACAGAGAGTGCCTTGCCTTAGAGCTGGTGCCCTGAATTCCGACTTCTATCCTCTTTAACTGTGAGAAAATAAATATTCTATTCATTGTGGTACAATCAAGGTGGCGGATTGTGTAGACGTGCAGTGACCTTCAGCAACAACACAGAATACTGGGCCAAGCAGGCTCAGGGGATGGTGCTAGAACTCTGAACCACATGTAAAGGAATATTTAGAAGCTTAGAAGGCTTATAGCTAGGGGGATTTGTAGCAGAATCAAGAAATCCATTGCTTTCTAATTCAAGACGCTCAGCTATTCCCAGAGCCACCATCTTGGGAGAAACCAAGTAGGGGAAGGATCAGAACAGCCACGAATGCCTGACATAACCGTGGAGATGCAGATGTGGACATTCATTTTTTGATATCTGTTCATTGGTCTTTTGCTGTCTGCACACCTCCATTCTTGTGACCAGAGGGGATGCCTGAGTGAATGGATACCCCACCCCCACCCCTGGAGGTTTTTACTATGCATGCACACAGATGTCCTTGAATTTTAAAGTGACAGTTTCCACTTAAAACCAAATGGCCACCACTTGTCTGTCAGTTTGTCATACAGTGGTGGCTTATCAATTGCTATGATTCTGAAAGCTATGCCACCAGTATTTTAAATAACCAGCAGGGTCACCCATGGTGGACAGGTTTCAGATGAGCTTCCAGACAAAGACAGACTAGGAAGAAAGAGTGACGAACTACTTCTGAATCTTTAGTCACTGAAAACCTTATGAATAGCACAGAAGAACTGTCAGATACAGTGCCAGAAAATGAGCACCTCAGGTTGGAATGCACTCAAAATGCAGCTGGGGAAGAGCTGCCTCCTCAAAGTGGACACAACTTAAAATGAAGAAAAAAAGCTGTAAACATCATTGAAAATCAGAACATGCAATGTACAAAGTATGAATCTGGGAAAATTGGAAGTTGTCAAAAATTAAATGGAATGCATAAACATCGATATCTTAGGCATTAGTGAGCTGAAATGGACTGGTATTGGCCATTTTGAATATGACAACAACATGGTTTACTATGCTGGGAATGAAAAATTGAAGAGGAATGGTGTTGCATTCATCGTCAAAAAGAACATATCCAGATCAGTCATGAGGTACAACAATGTTGTCTGTGATGGTGTAATATCCATGCGCTTACAGGGAAGCCCAGTTAATACCACTATTATTCAAATTTATGAACTAACCACTGAAACCAGTGAGGATGAAATAGAAGAATTCTACCAACTTCTTCCATCTGAAATCGATCAAATATGCAGTTAAGATGCATTGATCATTACTGGTGATTGGAATGCAAAGGTTGGGAGGAAAGAGGAAGGATCAGTAGTTGGAAAATATGGCCTTGGTGATAGAAATGATGCTGGAGAACGCATGATAGAATTCTGCAAAACCAATGAT